TCCTCTCTGTATATCTGACTTTGCAATAAAAATAAAATAAATCTATTTTTTATTTGAAAAGCAGAGTAACAGAAAAAGAGGAAGAGACAAAGAGAAATCTTCCATCCACTAGTTCACTCCCCAAATGGCCACAGTGGCCTGAGCTGGGCCAATCCGAAGCTTGGAGTCAGGAGCCTCTTCCGTGTCTCTCAAGTGGGTACAGGAACCCAGGGACTTGAGGCATTCTCCACTGCTTAACCAGGCACATTAGCAAGGAGCTGGATCAGAAGTAGAGCAACCAGGACTCCAAGCAGGTACCCATATAGGATGTTGTGTTGCAGGTAGAGGCTTAGTATGTTATACCAGGGCTCCAGCCCTGCTGATGTTGTTCTGATGTAACTTTGGACTTGATGCAGAAGTGCCACAACTCAGGAGGTGTTGCCTGGATAACCATGCATGGGGTGGAGCGCAGGCATGAGAGGATGGGGGTAGAATCTGCTGCTAGCTGCTGGTGTCACTGGCCAGAGCCCACACGGCCCCCCGGGACCCTGGACTTCTGCCCCCTCCTACCAGTGGGCTGTCTGGGCTTCTTCTTACGCAGGCTGCCCTGTGTCCTGGAGTGCCACACAAGCACCTGTCCTTACATGGGATGCTGTTGCTGGAGCCTGGTCATGGGACATGCGCCAGGACGCCCTCTGTGCACATCCTGGCCTGGGGTCATTTCCATCTCTTGTCATCCTTCATCAAGGCCCTCTGCCTCCTCCCTCTAACTCTGCTTTACATCTTGTTTTAGTAGTGAAATAAACAGCCCATGAAGCTAAGAGCCCGTTTTTAATAGAACTAGCTTCCTTTTCCAGAAGCAGCTTTACTTTAAAATTCGGTTCTGTGGTTCTGTGTCAGATCCGAGCTAAGCCCTTGGAGGGGGGTGGAAGACACGGGTCCAGGATGTCAGCGTGGAGGTAGGATGCAGCAGTTAATGTCACTGTCTGTGATGCCAGCGCCCCACAGCGGGGTACCAGTGCCAGTGCCAGCTGCTACTGCTCCCCATCCAGTTCCCTGTGGCTGGGCCTGGGGAAGCAGTATAGCGTGGCCCAGGTGTTGGGGACACCCACATATGGGATCCAGATGGATTGCTAGGCTCCTGGCTTTGTGTAGCTGTTACGTGTAGCTGTTTTTGTTTGAAAAGCTAACCAGCAGATAGAAGATATTCTCTCTCTGCTTCCCAAATAAATAAAGTTAATATATGTTTTTTAATAGCATGGTTTTTTAAAAAAAAATTTTTATTGGAAAGTCGGATATACAGAGAGGAAGATCTTCTGGTCTGTTGATTCATCCCCCCAAGCAGCCACCACTGCGGGAGCTGTGCCAACCTGAAGCCAGGAGCCAGGAGCTCAGAGCCTCTTCCAGGACTCCCACAGACTGAGGGTCCCAAGGCTTTGAGCTGTCCTTGACTGTCTCCCAGGCCACAAGCAGAGAGCTGGATGGGAAGTGGAGCAGCCGGGATATGAACCGGCACCTATATGGGATCCCAGTGTATGCAAGTGGGGGGGACTTTAGCCACTAGCTGGGCCCTTTTGGTGATGTTTATATGTGGACCACCAATTAGGTTAGGAAGGAATCCCATATAGGTGCCAGTTCATGGCCTGGCTGCTCTAATTTCCATCCAGCTCCCTGTTGTAGACTGGGAAAACAGCAGAGAATGGCTCAAGTCCTTGGGCCCCTGTACCCACCCTGATGGATGGATGGATGGGCGGAGCTCCTGGCTCCTGGCTTCAGACCAGTCCAGCTCCAGCAGATTCTCTTTGTCTCTCTTCTCTCTGAAACTCTGCGTTTCAAATGAAGAGCAGCTCGGACAGAATGGCCAAGGATGAATTATCTCCCTCCAAGACTGAGATCCACACTTGCACTTCAAAGGGTGGGACAGAAATCAGAGACATCAGAGGTGTCTTCTGCGCCCTGCCGCCATGGGAGCTACTGACGCCGCTCTTCCCAGAGCGCTGCTGGAATAAATCAGAGGAAGTGTGTTCCGCAGGGCCTCCCAGTGCCTCCCGAAAGTCCAGCACTGCCGTTCCCAATCCCACCTGTCGCTCAGTAGGAAGGAATGACATGCTGGAGACTGTCTGCCTGTTACAGTGCTAGAATATGCATGCACGCCAGGAGCTCAGTGCTGGAGAAGGCGGTGCAGACACATACCTCAAGTGCTGTGGAAAGCCAGGCTTTCTATCCACTAGACAAAGTGCGTTTCAAGAGAGCATGGAGCTAGAAGAGAAAGCCAGACTACTACACAAGTCAAGTCTAAGAGAAAGTTTGCTGTGCTGGGAAAACCACATGAATGTCAAGGCCGGGTGGGTGTGGGAAGGCAGTCTGAGGGTCAGAAGTCCACTCAGTAAAAAGGCATTATGTGGTGTCCCTGCTGGGAGGTGGGGAGAGGCAAGCTTCCCAGGGACTCTTTGTTCTGGGTATGCATCTGGGACAGAGAATTATTGGGCTGTTCACACACACACACACACACACACACACACACACACACACACACACACACACACACACACACGCCCCTCCAAAAACTATGCAGTAAGAGGAAGAAACCTGAAATCTCAACTGGACCAGAATGAAGAGGCTCGCTTTGCTCGTTCAACGGCCCACTGGCGCCCTCTACTGACAACCTTTTGTATGATGCTCTGTGTAGAAAGTCGGTGTAATGATCCAGTCCATTGTCTCAGTCCTGGAGGATGAGTTGGGAGATGGCAGGTAGTAATTTTGAATACTGACACAGTGGCAGAATCCCCCCAAAGGCTCTCTACTCACAGGCCGAGGGCCAATGTGGTAGGAAGGACTAAGTGGAGACCCCTTGCATTTTCTTCACCTGTAAGAACATGTAGAGCTGCTTCCTCCCCTAGAGGTACAGGCATGCTTGATGCTACTGTCGAAGAACTGAAAGGGCTGGGAGTGGTGGCAGCTGCCACACAGCCATTTCTGCCACCAAAGCAACCCTTGCAGAGCCAGGTGGGTTCTGGAGAGATACGGTGATCTTCTTTCAGCAATGTCCTCAGGTAGTGTCATCCATCGCAGCTGTTGTCCTGGACACAGGACCTTTCCTGTAGCCCATTAGTGTGACCCTGGCTTTTTCTCCACACAAATGCCACGTCCACCAACAGCAGTGGGGCTTTTAGCTGGCCAAGATAGCTTACTCGCGTAACTACTATCTTTAGGCTGCCTCAAGGCTACGTCAGTTCTGTTCTCTCATAATACAGTTTCACAGCCATCTTAATCATCTTGCCATCCCACAAAACATCACACTGTTCTTCCATGTTGACATTATTGGATCTGATGAACAGGAAGCAACAAGTTCTTTAGTTGCCTGGGTGGACGTATGCAGACCAGGAAAAAAAAAAAAAACGTGGAAAGTGTCAGGATTGATCGAACGGACAATGGAAAGATGCTTAATGGAGAAACGATTTTATTACACTGCACTGCGGCCATCATCCATGCTTTTAGGATGGCGCACCTTGTCTTAAGAACAGACTTTTACATCGCAAAAATCCAGGGTGTCAGAGCTCTCGTTACAAAGTCCGGTGGATGCAGTCGTTTGTTAATCTTGGATGGAACTAAGAGTCGCTGAGGTTGGTTTCCTGTGTTAATTGAACTTGACGAAAACCAAAAGGGAAGTGCAACATAGCCAACCTGAGCAAAGGGAGAGAGGAGGAGACAGCCTTGGGGTTTGGAAGACCTTCTTGTGTAATTTTCAACCGGAGCGAGTACTGCAACTTGGCTGCTCCAAGATAAACCATCAGGGCAGGTGTGCCTGGCTTGTGCTAAGCCTCTAGTCCACAGACATTCTTAGCTCCGCCAAGGGAGTAAACACAGATGCACCCAGGCCCGCCAGCACAGTAGGACTGCTGAGGCCAGGTGACGAGTCTTCCCAGGTGGAAGACAAGCTGAGCCTCATACAACCTGTGTGAGAGGCACAGTGCTTGGTGGCCGATCTGGGCTTTACAAGCAACATGTGTCGTCCATGGAGACACCTGTGAGCCTGCCCGTTCTGAGCATGGCTCTGCAGCAAGCTCCAGCTCATGGCACCGAGGATGTGGCAATCCAGGCACATCCAAAGCGTCTGGTGAGCAAGGATGCCCTCTTGAGTCCCTGAATAGAATTAAAGTATGAGTCACAGAGTTTTGTTTGTTTGTTTTAAAGACTTTTTTTTTTTTTTATTGGAAAGGCAGACTTAAGGAGAGAACAATCAAAAAGATCTTCGATCCATTGGTTAACTCTCCAAGTAGCCGCAGTAGCTGGAGCTGAGCCGATCCAAAGCCAGGAGCTAGTAGCTTCTTCTTGGTCTCCCATGTGAGTGCAGGGTCCCAAGGCTTTGGGTCATCCTCCACTGCTTTCTCAGGCCACAAGCAGGGAGATGATGGGAAGTGGAGCAGCCAGGACACGAACCAGCACCCATATGGAATGATGTTGAAGGCAGATTAGCCAACTGAGCCGTGTGTGCTTTTAAAAAATAACCCTAGGTCCTTCTTTGTAGACCACTCTCTCTCTCTCTCTCTCTCTCTCTCTCTCTCTCTCTCTCTATATATATATATATATATATATATATATATATTAGGCTATTTTAAAAAAGAAAAGTTAAAGCCATTTTTAGTAGAGGAATTAGGCTTTAATTAAAATTGATCCAATTAAAATATCAAATAATTTAAACTGCAAATATGAATTCCTTCTGACTGTTTTTAAAAAGTTACTTCGTTTGTTTTAAAATACACAAGTGCAGTGATTTAGAATTTATTTAATTTTTTACAAAACATTTTATTCACAACATATATAATGAATACTATACATCTGGGTCCATCACCCCAAAGCCCTTGTGAGGATTAACCTATAGGGGCCAGGTTGGTTCCTAGCTCCTTTTCCACCCCCCGGAGGAGGTGCCTGTGAGTGCTTGCAGGTGGGTGTGGCGTTTCAGCTGTGGGGCTGGTGGGAGGAGGGATGGACCCCAAGGTCCTGAGGGCTGGGTTGAGGGGTCAGGTCTTGCCATCCAGCAAGGATGTCCGCTTGTGTTGGTAGCCGCTCTGCCAGCCATGGATCACCTTACAGTCTCCCACATCCAGGAGCAGGTGGTGGTGAAGCCGATCCACCCGTTTCCTCTTCTGGACATACATGACCACTGCCACCACCACCCCGACCAGGGTGATATGGAAGAAAGGGCCCACCAGGGAGTCACTGCTGGCCTGGCGAGCACTGGGCACTGTGGTATTCCTCATGGCATCTGCAGGTTGACGGCCTGGTGGTCAGCATGGGCAGTGGCACCTTGGGAGGGCGCCTCTGGGTTCTCTCCCGCTGCAGCATCCCCGACAGGAACACCCTCGCCTGGCTCTCCCAATTTAGAATTTATTAAAACTCTGCCATCAGCCCTAGTTCGATGGCTCAGTGGCTAAATTCTCGCCTTGTACATGCCAGAACTGTATATGGGCACTGGTTCATGTCACAAGCTGGAACCCCATATGGGCCCTGCTTCATGTCACATCTCCCCCACTCCCCTTCCAGCTCCCTGTTTGTGGCCTAGAAAAGCAGTAGAGGACAGCCCAAAGCCTTGGGACCCTGCTCCTATGTGGGAAACCTGAAGGGGACTCCCGGCTCCTGGCTTCGGATCAGCTCAGCTCTGGCCATTATGGCCTTTTGGGGAGTGAACCAGCAGATGATCTCTATCTGTCCCTTCTGCAAATCTGCTTTTCCTGTAAAAATAACTCTTAAAAATGAAACAGTACACCTCCACTAACTGAGCCCCTATAGGAATCCCACCAGAGTTCTGGCTTAACCTTGTCAGAAGCACAGAACTCAGGGGTTCGTGAGGACTGTCCCCATCTAGGAGGGCTTCCCAGCCTTGGGAGGCTTGGCAGGCTTGGGAGGCACAGACACTACCCTGCTGTTCTTTCTCCCCGCAGGACCCAGGAGTGAGGCTGACGAGGCGGGCCCTCCATGAGAAAGGCCTGAAGCCGGAGCCCCTGAGGAGGCTGCTCCCCAGGAGGGGCCTGCGGACCAATGCTCGGCCCACCTCAGGCCCAGAAGCCAGGGCTCCCGGGGCAGGAGGCAAGGCCCCCAGAGCCCCCAGGACGATTCCCCAGGGCAAAGGGAGGTGAGCTGGCTCCTTGGGCCAGCAGAGGCCCCTAGCCTCCCTCTGCCGCCCTCAGGTTCCAGTCACCTGCCATGCTCCTGGCCGGAGGGGCTTCCGGTTGGACACCCACCGTGGGGACACCCCGGGCTGGCGGCCCTCCGTCTGCGTAGAACCTGAGGTTACAGCACCCACCTGGCTCACTGCTGGCTCTCACGGACAGCAGGCCCACAGGTACCCCACAAAAGGCAAGGACGACTTAGGGTATGGCCACACCGGATGCCTGAAGCTACCTGCCTGCCGGGTTTCTGGTGTCTGAGGAGGGGGCGGGGTGGGGACACCAGGCTGCCTTGCCCACCTCAAGGGGCCGAGTCTTGCCAGCACAGCACTACAGGGTCCACCCTGGCCAGCAGCTCCACTGGCATGGGTGGTCTTTGGCCTCCTGCGACGACACCTCATGGCGCCGGCATGGCCTTCACAGACATTTGCGCATGCGTCTAGGGCCACGGGCAGCACCTGCAGGTCTTCGCAGCTGTGGAGGATCTGTGCTTGACTGCCTTCTTGCCCTGCACCTGTACATCAAGGCAGGGTGACAGGACGACCTCCAGCGCCAACATGTGTGTTGGAAGCTTCCACCAGGTGCCAACCTCAGCAGTCAACTTGACAGCCCCCGCCCCCAGAGAGGCAGGGGCAAGAGGCCTTTGAGCCCAGACCCTCATTTCGTGCCATGGAACCCGCGTGGAGTGGCCAGGAGACTTTCTGACGCAGCCCTGAGCCGGCCCAACCTAGCTGGAAAATCCCCACAGCTCTAGGCCTCTCGGGCCGATCAGTGGTTCCAAAGGGCTTTCACCACCAACCTCCAGCTTCCCCGCTTCACTGCAGGACCAGTCACACTCAGAAATCCTAATGTTGCCTGTTAGAGAGGCAACTTCCGCTGTGCTGGGCATTGTGATTTGTGGGAATACTTTAACCCTCGCGGGGCTCCCAGTGACACAGGTACTGGGTGATGATCAGCATTTTACAAAGGAAGTAAGGCTCGGAGATATTAAGGGATCTGGCCAAAGCCACACAGTTAGTAAAATGTAGGAGCGGCCTTCAGACCCAGGTTGGCCTGCCAACTCCACAGCCGCCATGCGGTAGCACTTCTGGGACGCCGTGGGGTTTGACGAGGCATCCGCGGGACTCGGTAGTGGATTAGATAGACCGCTCTTTGCATTCGTGTGGTTGAGAGTCACATGTGCACCAGTGACTGAGATGACAGTTCCTACTTGTAGCTGATATGTTAGACTCAGCCCCTGAGTCCCTGGAATGGCCTCCTCCCAGACCCCTCTAGAACAATGATGCTGAAGGAAGCTGGGCTCCAGGACTAGTTCCTGTGTGGAACCTTCCTGGAAACCAGGGAAGGTGGTCCCTGGCCACCTGAGTCACTTGGGAAGTTCATTCCAGTTTCTCTGGGCAGTTTTCCAAATTCACAAACCAAGGGGATTTGGAACTGAAACATTGGAATTCTTGAAAATCATCTCATTCTGCATCTTTCGTAACTTTCTGTACTTTATCTCACTTCTCAGCATTTTGGCTAAGAACACATGCTGGCCCCGAATATAGTTTGGAGTTACAGTGACAAAGACCTAGAGGTCACGGCAATGTTAAAAACCTGAGATATTCCAGCAAGTGTTATTAGCTAATCTTTGCTTCCAAAATGTTTATATCTGCAGCAAACACTACACTGAGTTCCGATTGCCAACGTAAGGGCTTGCTTGGTGTCCAAACCCAGTATTTCTTGGAACATCATTCCTAAGACTTGGAGAAGACGCACAGTGTGTGTACGCAGGTGTGTACTCGCTTTGTGCAAAGGAGTTCCTGCTCACAGCAGACGTGACCAAGCGTTCACTTGAGTCTTTTCCTCGATTACTGAAGGGCCTCCCTGGGTTCTGTCTTGCCTTCTGCGGGGAGATCAGCCTTTCCTTGTGGATTCCTTCAACCCAGCAAGGCCTCTGTGAAGATTGGGAGGCATTCATTCTCACAGGAGAGTTCTATTTTTTCCTCATTTTGTGTTTTGGAGCAGATTGAAATTCAGTAAAACATAAATTTCCTGCTAAGTGCCACAAGGCTTTGCTCTGTGGAACACTCGTGCGCTATGCAGGCTGCACAGACGCAGGGCCCTGTGTGCTCCGAGACCATGCGGCTCCTGGGCCGGATGCCGGCTCTTCCAGGTCCCGGCTGCGAGGCCTTTCTCAGCTTAGATGTAGAAGCACGTGTGGGAAATAACCTGGGAGGGGCCGTGGCTTGGGAGTCTGCCTAAGGCATGGTTCCTGGTCCTGTTACCTACTACCTCTTTGATGATTTGGGGCCAGTTGTAACCGCTCCATTTCCCCTTCTGTAAAATGAGGCCCCCGACTGAGTCTGTTACGGAGGGTTGTCGTGAGTTTCAGTGTGATTGCAACAGGGAAAATTCCCAACGTGGAGCAGAGCACCATTGTATGTACCTGTTTGATTCATATAAATCAGGGGGGTTAGACACCGGGGTGTGTACCTCCCAGGGTTCTTGTGAGGAGGCAAGGAAGGTGGTGGGTGCGAGCAGGACTTTCTAAGCTGTGAACTGATATCTACCTGCTCCTCCTGTCTTTCCTGATGGGTTTTTCAGCAGCTCTGCTCTTAGTGTTCCCTCCCAACTAGGCAGCCCCAGAAGGGAGCTATGTGGAGGAGGCCGTGTGCCCTGGTTAGCAGAAAAAAATCGGCATAAGGCGCAGCTAGGTGAGGGTCAGTTACAGACAAATGCGCAGACCCCATAGTGTGCTCTGACCTGGGGCATGCTCAACTGCATGCAGAGGCTTGGAGCAAGGTTGGTGTCCTAGAGAACCTGGACACTGCATCAGCCTTCACATCCCAGGGAGGGGACATGGGACTGAAATGAGGCTCCTTGACCATTGTTTGGAACTGACTGGTGCAGGCTGAACTTGGGAGCGCTCCCCACCGGTTGGAGCCAGAGCCTCCTCTCCCACTGGCTGTGCACTTGAGATGTTACTCATCGCAGAGACTGCATACCCAGGCTGCTTCAGGAGTCCTTCCAGAGACTTCTATAACCCTGCCAGCAGCCCCGTAAACACCAGCTTGATTCTGGCTTTGCAGCTGAGGTCTGGGAGTCTGGGAGGAAAGATAAGGCCCTTGCCCAAGGCCACACCGTCTAGATGCTGTGACCCAGCCCTTCACCCCTTAACAAGCTGCCTCAATCCTCCAGGTGCCAGGTGGCCTGCCCAGCACCTAAGTGTCCTCTCTTGCCTTCACTAACTAGCCTTCCTCTCCTGCTGCCTCCTCCTCTGCTCTATGCTTCCGGGGCTGTTTTGCTCTGCTTAGCCCACCAGGTCCTTGGAACCCAATTCTCACACTTTTCTCTTTGTTTTGCTCATTTACGCCTAGGCTGCCCCCTTCAGCACCAGCCTGATCTACCAGCTGCCTCCCCACGGGTCCTTGGAAATTCCAGACTCTCAACTAATTGAACATTTTTCCCTTAACTCATCTCTCCTCTCGAGTCTTCCTCCCAAGTCCCCTTCCTGCGTACTGTGCCCTCTGAGCTTCAGATGCTGTCATCATGAGAGGTGGAGTCCAGCAAGGCCTTGAAAGACAAAATTCTCTTGGATACGTGCTCAGGGTTCGAGATGGGCCAGCGGTTTGCGAGCAAATGTGGGGGAGGGAATTCATTCATTTATTCATTCATTCATTCAGCTACCTTCTGGGTGCCCGGCCTTGAGCCGGATCCAGTCACCAGGACCTTGAATGCATTCATGAGTCAAGATTCCCTGGCATCAGGGACACTCTAGGCTGCTAGGGAAGAATGGCGCTAAGCAATCTTCCCCAAACACATCCTCTTTAATAAACTGTGACAGGTGTCATGAAGGAAAAGCTGGGAGCTCGGAGACAACTGTAGCTGCTCTGAATTAGGCTTGGCAGGGTGGCAAAGAAGGCTGTTTTGAGAAAGAGCAAATTACCCTAACCCTGAGATTTGAGACAGAGAGGAAGAACTTGGCACGTTGGGAGCCTATGTAGCTAGAACTGAGTGTGCAGGGAGAGGTGGCCAGATGAGGCTGGGAGGGCTGGATGGGGCCAGAGGAAGAAATAATGACTGAAAAGTCGCAGGCAGTGCCAAGGAAGTCTTTGACCCAGATCTTTTGCCACAGGTCCACCTGTTGTTAAGCTTTTACCCGATTTGTGTTATGATTGCTCTCTGTACTTACCACGTCTAGATGTGAGGGTTTTTTTTATTATTATTATTCTGAACTTCTTGAGAATATGTTGTGTACATCACACTCCCTTAGTCCAAAATGCGGTGTGTGTCTCTTCCCAAAGTGCAGTTACCCACACCCCTGAATTTGACATTGATGCAGTCCGGTAGCTAGTTTTCCACCTGTCTCGTCAGTCATCTCAATGATGTCCTTTCTGTAGCGCGTTCCCTCTAGTCCAGGATCCAGTTTCCATCCAGTCCAGGGTGACATGTTACATTCAGTTGCCATTTCTCTTTAGTGTCCTTTCATCTGGGATAGTTCACCTTTCTTCCTGTTTGGTGATGTTGACCTCACTGAAGACTGCGCTATCCCCATGTTTGAATGGAGCATTCCTCTGTTCGGATTTATCTAGTTTGCTGTTATGTATGGGGTGATGTGTTCCTGACTGGAAGACTACGTTAAGTGAGGGTGTGTTCTTCACTGTTCCCCGGGGTGGTTTTCATTTTGATCCCCCCATCAGCGTGATCTGATACCTCCTTTGCAATTACCATTTCCTCCGTGTCTAATAATCTAAGGGGGGACACTACAAGACTGTGAAAATACCCTATTCCACGTTGATGATTAAATAGATAACATTTCACATCTATGATGATTCCTGTCTGAATAAATCTTTGTGATGGTTTCAAAGTCATACCTCTTCAATTCCAGGACTCTCTCCACGTGCAATGGTTAACAATTGACATTGTTTCAACCACTTATTTATAACTTACCCTTAACAGAATGTTTGGATTTCTATTAGTTTCTATAACTTTATAATTGGCTACTAACAGGAATAATTTTGGTGTCCAAATCGCCCAGATTTAGCCAGTAGGAGCCCCTGGAGGTTGGAAGACTGGATGCTGTCCCAAGGTCAGTGAGTGGCCATGTGACACACAGACAAGGAAGCAGGAAGACCCTGCTGGAGGCTCTTATGTCATCCAGATGGGAAATGTGGCTTTGATTAGTGAGACGACATGCAGGATGGAAGGAATAGAGGAATATAAGAAGTGTTGGAGGGAGACTCAGCAGGACTTCGTAGTGCAACAAATGTGTGAGTAGTTAGGAGAGGAACTAAGGAAGGCAGGGGTGGAGTTGTGGGGTGGGTGGCTGGGTGGAGTGTATGTTTTAGACATATTGAGTTCAAGATGTCCTTGGCATCCAAGTGAGGAAGTCAAGTAGATAAGCAGAGATAAATATACACACAAGTAAATATATACACATATAGGATCCAGGAGCTTCCCCCTAGAGATGATTTTTGGATCCATGGGCTTTGATAAAATGCTGTCAAGTAAAAATGGGCACTGAGGGGTGAAAGGAGACTGAACCAGGACTCCTGAGGGCACAGTGGGGCATAGAAGTAGTAGGTGGCAGGTGACAGCCATGGAGAGATCTTGGGGGACCAGATCTCATGGACACTGGATGTCAGGCCAAATCTGAGTGTTGCAGGACCTTGAAGATAAAGAGCAGGGGGCGGGGGGGGAGAGTTTTGAGTAGTGGAGTTTGACAACGCTTGTTCTGACATCGAAGGAGAGCAATGTGGAGGGCCAGGGAAGTGGCTAATGCTGTGGTTCTTTCTCTTGGCCGTTGGAAGCTGCTCAGATGCATCTCCATGCCTGGAATGCCCTCTCCTTGTTCATCGGGGCATATAAAAGATCAAAACACCCATGTCTAGCGTACTTGTCATGACTTCGGGCTGGGGTCTTTCCCCAGCCTAGCACAGTGGTGTCAGTGTATGCATGGGCTGGGGTCTGAAGTTCCCTGGGACTTGCTGGGGACCATAATTTTCTGCTCTGATGCCTCAAGTTCAGTATGGTGTTTGTGGTCTAGGCAACCACCCATTTAAGCCTATACTGTGTCCACTCCCACCTCACCATATACCATGGGACATGGGTTCAAGTCTGAATAAACATCCCCAGTGTGTCTTCTTAGCAGTATCTCTGAGGTGCCAACAGCCCACTGACAGATGCAACGGGAGACTGAGATTTTAAAGAGAAGGGGGAGCGATGCAATTACTTAATTGGCTAATCATCCACCTGCAAGAAGTGGCATATATGGACACTATTCTGCATCCAGAACGCTCCACTTCCCATCCAGCTCCTTGCTTGTGGCCTGAGAAAGCAGTAGAGGATGGTCCAAAGCCTGGGGATCGGCTCAGCTCTGGCAATTGCAGCTATTTGGGGAGTGAACCAGCAGATGTCTCCCCTTCTTTCTGTAAATCTGCCTTTCTAATGAAAATAAATAAATCTTAAGAAATAAAAAGAACAGAGGGAAGGACAAACCCTGTGAAGACCAAGAATGGCAAGGGCGTTTCAGGTTGGATAAAACAGGGTAGGCCCTTGGGGAAGGTGGCACTTGAAGGCCAAGAAAACTATTTTCCATTCCCTATAAGAAAAGTTGCTTAGTGGAAAAGAGAAGATTTTAAAAAATATTAAAGCCCCACTTTCTAATGTTCTCTCTCATGTTCTGATGCCACCATCAGCACAGCTGTTACCAAGTACATAATATTCCTAGGTTCTCTTATGGTTGGCCTCAGTCCTTCCCAGCCTCATGGCATTTGCTCAGGGCCTGTGGCTGGGCAGTAAGGACTGAAGCAACCCCAGGGACCAGAGGCAACTCAGGGATCAGTGCCTGAGCCCATCCATCCACTGTTGCACTCAGGACACAATGCATACCATGCACACCTTGAGGATACAGCAGGTACTGGGACATGGTTCCTGTCCTGTCGAATTTAATGGTAAGGGAGGGCTGAGTGAGAGGCCAGCACTGTGGCACAGTAGGTTACGCTGCCTCCTGGCGTGTCTGCATATCTGAGTGCCTGATTCTAGTCCCTGCTACAGCACTTCTGACTCAGCTTCCTGTTACTGCATCCCAGAAGGCAGTAGATGATAGTTCAAGTACTTGGCTTCCTGTGATCCAAGTGGGAAACCTGGATGGAATTCCAATATGGCCTGTTCGCTCTTGCAGGCATTTAGGGAGTGACCCAGTGGAGATTTCTCTCTCTCTGCCTTTCAAATAAACACCTTTTTCCCCCTGAAAAGATTAAGTGTAGAGCAGCATGTAGCAGGCCGCAGTGGGTGCACGGTGTGTGATGACTTCTGGAGAAGGGAACTAAAGCCTTGGGAGTCAAGGAGAACAGGAGACCCAGCACGAGCGGGGAGCTGGGGAGAGGCCCGCAGATGCCAGCGGTGGCCACGGTCAGGTGCACGCCACCAAGTTCACAAGCAGACAGCACCTCTGGGCTACTTTCGGGCCTCAGAGTACTTGTTCTTGTTATTTCTAGTACTTTCTTCCTCCTGTTTTTAGTGGACTACTGTTACACTATTTCCCAAAATCTCAACTTGCATGCTTAAATAATTCATTCTTTCCTTTTTCACACTTAAAAGCATGTTGTGCTTTTCCATAGAGCTTTAGCTGTATCCTAGTTTTTTTTAAGTTGCAAAGACTTTTTTTTAAAAAACATTGATTTATTTTATTGCAAACTCAGATATACAGAGAGGAGGAGAGACAGAGAGGAAGATCTTTTGTCCGATGATTCTCATTCCCCAGGTGACCGCAATGGCCAGTGCTGCGCCGATCTGAAGCCAGGAGCCAGGAACTTCTTCTAGGTCTTCCACAGGGGTGCAGGGCCCCAAGGCTTTGGGCCATCCTCGACAGCTTTCCCAGGCCACAGGCAGGGAGCTGGATGGGAAGTAGGGCTGTCAGGATTAGATCTGGCACCCATATGGGATCCCAGCTTGTTCAAGGCAAGGACTTTAGCCACTAGACCACTGTGCCAGGCCCTGTATCCTAGTTTTTTAAGAAAATCTTTCCTGGGCCCTGTGCAACAGCATAATGGTTAAGCTCCTCACTGGATCCTGGCACATGCAAGACAAAGACTTAGCCATTAGGCTACCGTGCTGGGCCTTATCTTTGTATTTTTGTGAGCAGAAGGAACCCATATGGGCACAGGTTCGTGTCCCAACGGTTCCACTTCCCATCCAGCTCCCTGCTTGTGGCCTGGGAAAGCAGTGGAGGACGGCCCAAAGCTTTGGGACCCTGCACCCACATGGGAGGCTGGAAAAAGCTCCTGCCTCAGGCTTGGCCTAGGCTGGCCATTGCAGCCATTTGGAAAGTGTGAGTCAGTGGATGGAAAATTTCTGCCTTGCTCTCTTGCTTTATCTCCGTAATTCTGCCTTTCAAATAATAAGGAAAATATTTTATAGGAGTATGTTGCTTAATTCCTAAATGTTGTGAATTTCCAAATTTCTCAAAATTCTTTTTTGACTTTACAGCCAAAAACCAAAGTTTTCACAAATTTATTACTGAACTAACACACTAGTACAGATTACCGAAACAAAAGGGAAAGCCATTTTCCCAATGCAAAGAGTGGTGACATTTTCAACTTGACAAGATGACAATAACCCTGGGGCGCAGCGCAGACACACGTGCCATCCGCTGCAGTCCCTCACAGTCCCAGCTTGGTTCTCCGCCAGTGTCTCCTCTTGGAGTTGTACCGGATTTTGTTGCCAGTTTTCATCCAAATCCACTGGGGGATGGGGCGGTTTTGCTTCTGTTTCTTGGCCAGGAACCGCTTGATCCGGAAAGTCTTGTGGGAAGACATGGCAGGGGAGAATGGAGACTTCACTTGGCAAAGGGGCGATGCGGGCAGGCTGGCAAGGGAGAGACAAGCCTGTTACTGCCTTGAAATTACATTCTAGGAAAAAGTGGCATGCATTTAACCTTTTAAAATTCACTATGATATGTTTTATGGTCTAACGCGTGGTCTCTCTTGGAGAACAGGCCATACGCTCTTGCTTAAAATGCACACTGAATTCATAACACTGTTGTCAGGCCTGCTGAGTTCTAGGTAGTCTCCCTAGTTTATTACTGATATTGGGGATCTGAAGTCTCTAGCTCTAACTGCCTATTTCTCCTTTCAGTTTTTTTTTTTAAAGATTTTAATAATTGTTTACATACTTGAGAGGGATGCACACCCATGTGGGCTTCTTATTAGGATGGGTTAGGTATGGAGGAAGGTGGGTGCAACAGTGTCTTTTTTTCTCCTGTGTCAGAAGTGGGGAGGGGGAAGATAGGGCCACTCCTTGCAGTCAAACTACATCAGCACCCAGGGATGGGGGACGGTCCTTTGATGACGCCCCAGAGACCACAATGTGGGAAGAGTGTCCTCAGAGCATTACTTGAGTGGTTTTGATAGCGATGAGAAGTTGTTGGGTTTCAAGATCCACAGACCCAGGATCTCCCTTCAGTTCTGTCAGAAAGACTGCCAACTCAAAGTTTTATATCTGGAAATTCTCCTAAAAGAGCAAATCAATGACGAGTGATCTGGGCCAGTCCTATGGTGCAGAGGGTTAAGCCGCAGCTTGGGACTCTGACATCCCACATCAATTTAAGTTGTGGGGCCCGGCGCGGTGGCGCTAGTGGTTAAGTCCTCGCCTTGCACGCCCGGGATCCCATATGGGCGCTGGTTCTAATCCCGGCAGCCCCGCTTCCCTTCCAGCTCCCTGCCTGTGGCCTGGGAAAGCAGTTGAGGACGGCCCAAGGCTTTGGGAACCTGCACCCGCGTGGGAGACCCGGAAGAGGCTCCTGGCTTCGGATCGGCATGGTATCGGCCCGTTGCGGCTCACTTGGGGAGTGAATCATCGGATGGAAGATCTTCCTCTCTGTCTCTCCTCTCTGTATATCCGCCTTTCCAATAAAAAATAATAAAAATAAATCTTTAAAAAAAAAAAAAAAAAAAAAAACAATTTAAGTTGTGGCTGCTCCACTTGCAATCCAGCACCCTGTTAATGCACCTGGGAAAGCCGCGAAAGACACCCAAGTGCTACCATCCACGTGGGAGACTCGGGCCGACTTGTGGCTCATGGCTTTGGCCTGCCACAGCCTTGGTTGTTGCATCAGGGAGTGAACCAGCAGACAGAAGACCGCCCTCCATCATTCCCTGTTTCTCTGTCACTCTTAACTTCCAGATAGACAGATAAAAAAATTATCCAGATAATATATGGACCTGTTTTTCAATAAATGCTAAAATGAAAGAACACTAAATAGTAACTTAAAATCACAAAAAAATAATCAATCGGTGCCATCCCTGTGACATAGCGTTGACACCAATATCCCTGATGGGCGCTGGTTCGTGTCCTGACTGCTCCACTTCCTATCCAGCTCTCTGCTTGTGGCCTGGGAAAGCAGTGGAGGATGGCAAGTTCCTGGGCTTCTACACCCATGTGGGAAACCTGGAGGAGGCTCCTAACTCCTGGTTCCAGATCGGCTCAGCAATGGCTTCTGTGGCCATCAGAGGAGTGAATTAGTGAATGGAAGATCTTTCTCACTGTCTTCTCTGTAAATCTGCTTTTCCAACAAAATACATCTTAAAAAAAGAAACAAAAAACCACAAGGAAGCCTACAGCCTGGATAGGATACTGCCCTCTGGTTCTGCCCCTTGTTGCCTGTCTCCAATTTAACTGTTACAGGAAGCGCCAGAGATCCTGCCCTCCCCACTCAACCTGCACTGCCATCTGGAGCACACTGTGGTCACACCCCCTCCTTACACACCCTACTCCCAAAACCAAGACCGAGGAGTGAAACTGGATCCCCAGGAATTGGAGATGTGCAACATGGTCCCTCCTTGCTTCATCTGCTGCCGGGTGCCCTGCTCACACCCTGGCTTCTCCGAGGGGAACACTGCAAGTACTGACAAGCCCCTGGTCAAGTCGTGCACATGCGGACAGGCTGTATTGTATGTGTATTGATTTGGGGGCGAGGGGGATGAGGGGTCTTCCTGAGACTAGCCTTGCCCCTTTCCAATCAGTTCCCAACCGGCAGCAGCCAAGTGCGATCCTTTTTGAAAATTTTAGGGCTGGCCCTCCTCAGCTCAGAATCCCACCGGGAGGGAGTCCGATGCTAAGCCGCGCACCACACCCGTCCTCTCCCGTCTGGATCCTCAGCCTGGACTGCGCCTCTCCAAGCCTGGGCGCCCATGGAGTGAAGTAACCGGTTCCAACAGCCTTTCGGAGAAGGCGAGAAGCCTCGAGCCCTTCGAACGCCGCCCGCCGCGGGCGCCCACTCCGCGGTTCAAACGCCGACACCAAACGCCCGCCTTTTCCTCGCCAATGCCGCCACTCGGAGCGGCACGCCACGCCGAACAGCACCAGCAGTGAGCCCCAACCCCGCTTCATCCGCGAGTTTAAAATGGAAAAATCTAGAATTTTTCTCTACCCGTCCGCCCCTCCCACCTCCAACTAAGCTCGGGTTCCGCTCGGCTTTTTTTTGAAAGCGCGCGGCCCGGGATCATCACCACACCAGCCTGGGCAAGGCCCCACGCAGCCAACCAATCAACAACCTCCGTCCCTTTTTACCCTTTCCGAGACCTTGGCTTCCCGACCGCGGTGCCAAGAAGGGCGGGTCGGCGGCCAGCTCGGCGGCAGGACGGCTCAGCTGGGCCGGTTGCCTAGGTCACCCCTGGGCTTCCGCCGGCCCGAGGGAGCGAGGGGGCGGGGCGAGGGGCGGACGTCCCGCCCCCAGCACAGAGCGGGGCCTGGGATTGGCTCGCTGCCGCGTGGGTCCCGCCCCCCAGCTCGGGGCGCTTGGCGTGCCCTTCGGGTGGCTGCGCGGCCTCTGGTCTGACGGCGAGGCGGAGGTGGCGGTTGGCGCGTCGTGGGCACCGCGGCCGCCTGAGGAGGAGGACCGGGCAGGGCGGCTCGTTGGCCGGAACACCTGAGTTCGCCCCGAAGACTTCCCCGAGCGCCGGGAGAGGTGCCCCGGGCCCCAGGGACCCTGCTGAGCGGGACGTTCCGGTGCTTCGTCCGCGGGACTTCGGCCAGCGCCAGTCGGGTGCCCAAGGCGCCGTTGGTGATCCCCAAAGAGCTTGCGCCTTGTGTCCGGCGCTGCTGGTTTCTGGGCTCTGGGTCCTCAGTCATGAATGAGCAGGCTTGGGATAGCCCTGTACTACCCTTGCCCGCCCGGGTCAACCTTGTTTGTAAAGATTTGACAGTTTTCTAGGGATCTAAGCCGTTTGCATTACGGTCTTCTTAGCCACCTTCATTTTCCAGAACTTAACAGAAGGAATAACAGCTGCAGGCTAGTACCTAAAAAGTGAAGTACAGGGTCTGGAGCAAGCAGTCAGGTCCCTGTGACTTATTTGGAAAGCCGGAGTTAAGCCCCGGGCTCCTGGCTTTGGCCTGGCCAAGCCCCAGCTGTTGCAAACATCTGGGGAGGGAAACAGGAGACTGGCAATTTCCTACCCTTCAAAGAAAACTATTCAAATAACTTGAAAACAGAAGTAAATTTTCTTTTGTTTTTCCTCACTGTCACTCTGATCCCTTCAGAACTGCTCAGCTGTGATGTCCCAAACTCGCCTTTGTCACCTGTGGTCATCCAAACAAGGAAAATCAAAAAGCCACGGGGAGCAACATTTATGTGAGACATCCAGACAGCTCGCGGGTGATGGTGGTGGCAGCTAAGAGACGATGCTTGTTTGTGGGTGATGAGAATGCCGTAAGATGGATGCTGGTAATGGCTGCCCAATTGGGAATGTAGTACACATCATTGAAATGTACACTTTATAACTAGAGGAAGTGACGTGTGTAACGCCCCAGTGCCACAGTTACATTCAATGAGATGTCAGAAGGACCAGTGCCATGGTGAAATCAGCTAAGCTGCCTCCACCTTTGGCGCTGGCATCCCGTAAGGGTGCTGGCTTGTATCCCGGATGCTCCATTTTTGATCCAGCATTCTGCTTATGGCCTGGGCAAGCAGCAGAGGGTAGCCCAAAGCTTTGGGATCCTGCACCCATGTGGGAGACACAGAAGAAGCTCCTGGCTTGGGATCTGCTCAGCTCTGGCCATTGTGGCCATTTAGGGGTGTGAGGCAGCAGATGGGAGGAGCTCTCTGGCTCTTCTCTCTGTAAATCTGCCTTCAAAAAGAATGAGAAGCATCTTAGAGACCAGAAAACAAAATAACAGACCAGCCTGTGCCTTTGCTGTTTCTGAGGTTCTGTGTGTTTACAGTGTACCTCCAAAAGGTCATGGCAAATGGGATTAAAAGATAATTCAAAGATAATGCACCTTGTCCCGTGGACTTTGTGGCAAATTTTTGTTTCATTGATGTGAAAGGCAACATACGAGAGAAAACTTCCACCCACTGGTTCACTCCCCACAGGTCCACAGCAGCAAGGGCTGGGCCAGGTTGAACTCTGCCTGGATCTCCCACATGGGGAGAAGGGGGTCCCCAGGCACTTGGGCCGTCACCTGCTGCCTCCCAGGGTGTGGGTGAGCAGGAAGCTGGATGGAAAGAAAAGATGGGAACTCCAAACTCAGGCACTGCCAACGGGGGGCTTAACGCTCGGACAACACTGGCCCCTGACAAAGGCTACCCTGCATAGAAGAGGACAGATGTGGAAGGAATAGAAATGATGGGAAGGGGAAGAGTAGTTGGTGAAGTGGCTAAGAGGCCGCTTGGGACGCTCACACCAGCAGGCGCACCCTGAGAGTGGCAGGCAAGTCTCAAGTACTGGAGTGCTTGTACCCACCCCCGACGGGAGACAGACCGAGTGTCACAGGCACCCAGCCGGGGCTGTTGCATGCATTTAGGGAGCAGAACAGCAGATAGAAAATTTCTTTGTCTTTTTTTTTTTTTTTTTAGGTGGGGGGATTTTTTTTCCTCTCATATTTTTTTTGGGGGGGGGAGGTGCAATTCTTTCTTTGTTTGAAATATTTTACAGAGACAGAAGACAGAAACGTCTTGTCTTCACTGGTTCACTCCCCAAATGGCCACAGTGGCCATAGCTGAGCTGAACTGAAGCTAGGAGCCAGAAGCTTCATTTGGATCTCCCTCACGACTGGCAGAAACTCAAAGAGTTGGCAATCCTTGGTTCCATTGCAGGAGTATTGACAGGGACCTGGGTCTGAAGAACAGTAGGACTTGAAATGGTGCTCACTATGGGCTGCTGGCATTATAAGCAGCGGTTTAATGTGTTGTGGCACAGCACCTCCCGAGTGTCGTCGTCTTTCGTGGTTTTCCTTTTCGGGGCTGCTTCAGAATGCCCTTAGCATAAGAGGCTGTTGTTTCTCTGGAGGCATTTTGAGGATGAGTATCATTTTAACAGTTTACTCATGCAACTGAGTATTAAATGTCTACTTCATTGTATCTTTACTAAAAACCTACCTTCTCTCCCCAATTGTGGGCCATTCTCAGCTGCTTTCCCAGGTGCATCAGCAGGGAGCTGGATGGGAAGTGGGGCAGCCAGGACCTGAACTGCTGTCCATATGGGAGGTTGGCACCACAGGTAGAGACTTAGCAAGGGTTAGCTATTTCTGCAAGCAGTACATAATCAAATTCTACTGGATAATCTCTTAGGTTAAAGATGGCATTTTATGCTTGTTCTTCATCTGCGTCATGAAGCTCACTTTCAAGCAGCACAGCTAGACACCGATGGGCTCCTAATGGGGGATGTACAGCATTTGATTTTAAAAACCTCCTGCTGCTTTGAGTGAATTTCTGCCTCTGACTCAGGTGAAATGAGAGAACGGGACCCCCAGGAGATGCAAGATGAGTGGAGACAACAAATGCGGCCTTGCTGCTGAATGGGGGGAAGGGACTCATGTTGCGGACCGAAAAGCTGGGACGCTTGAGGCAGAACTCAAGGATTCGAAAGGAGGAGTCAGGGATGCTGCGTGGCGAGACAGTGCACAGTGCCTGGAGCCCTGCACAGTGCCTGGAGCCCTGCAGGATGGCGCTAGAGTCTAACTCCCTCCCCACCCCTGCAGGCGCCCCAGGGCAAGGGGCCAAGGTTTGCTCCCTCTCAACTCTATACTTCAGTTTCTGCTGCCTGGACTAAGGGAGGCCAGAGCTATGGCGGAGACAAAAATAACTTGTGGCAAGAGGCCCTTGGCACAGGAGACATGCGTTAGAGTGGAAATCGGGATGTCAAATCCCAGCCCTGGCAGGGAGGGGGCAGGCCCTAGACATCTGGGAGGCAAGGAGGGCGGCCTGGCAGGGGCTGGAGCTGGGGTGCTAGCACAGCTTGTACCCATCCTAGGCAGGCTTGCTTTGAACCTGCTAGGCAGACCACAAGGGCCAAACAGCAGACGGCAGGGGCACACACCTGACACTGTGGCTAAGACACGGCTGGGGACTCAAGCATCCCCTGTGGGAGTGCTTGGTTCAACTTCCCACCCCTCGGCTTCCAGTCCAGCTCAAGTACTCAGGTCTCTGCCTTGCACACGGAAGGCTTGGACTGAGTTCCAGGTTCCTGACTTCGGCCTGTTCCTGGCTGTTATGGACATTTCGGTACTAAATCAGTAGTTCAAAGATCTCTTCCCCCCACTTCTTTTAACTAAAATGAAAACAAATTTTAAAAATAGTTGTTTTTATATGAAAGGCAAACCCTACAGAGAGGAGAGGCAGGGAGAAAAGGATCTTCCAGGGCCCGGCGCGGTGGCGCAAGTGGTTAAGGTCCTTGCCTTGCACGCCCGGGATCCCATATGGGCGCCGGTTCTAATCCCGGCAGCCCCGCTTCCCTTCCAGCTCCCTGCCTGTGGCCTGGGAAAGCAATCCAGGACGGCCCAAGGCTTTGGGAACCTGCACCCGCGTGGGAGACCCGGAAGAGGCTCCTGGCTTTGGATTGGCATAGTATCGACCCGTTGCGCTCAGTGGACGGAAGATCTTCCTCTCTGTATATCCGCCTTTCCAATAAAAATAATAAAAAGGAAAAGATCTTCCATTCACTGGTTCACTCTCCAGGTGGCTGCAATGGCCAGAGCTGAACAGATCTGCAGCCAGGAGATTCTTCTGGGTCTCCCATGTGGTGCAAGGTCCCAAGGACCTGAGCCTTCCTTTGCTGATTTCCCAGGCCATTAGCAGGGAGCTGGATGGGAAGTGAAGCAGCTGGGACTAGAACCAGCACCCATATGAGATGCCAGCACTTGGAGGAAGAGAATTAGCCTGTGAATCAGAAGTCTGGCCCCAATGCAAGCTTTTTTTTGTTAATGGAAAAAAACAGGACCCAAAGCAACAGCCTATTAGTAAATCCTTGCCTTGCATCTGCAGGGATCCCATATGGGCACTAGTTTGTATTAAATGCTCCACTTCCCATCTAGGCCCCTGTTTGTGGCCTTGGAAAACGGTAGAGTATGGCTCAAAACCTTGGGACCCTGCACCCGAGTGGAAGACCTGGATGAAGCACCTGGCTTCAGATCAGCTTAGCTTTAGCCATTGTGATGACTTAGGGTGTGACCCAATGGATGGAAGATCTTTCTTTCTCTCTATAGATCTGCCTTTCCAAAAATAATAATAATCATAATAAATCCTACCAAGCAACAGTCTGCACCTCTGTGCTCTTGTTCGCCCGCCTGTCTCCAGGTTAGACTGGATCAAGAAGTGGACGTTGCAATGGCTAAGTGTCTACTGCTTACTGAGGCAGGCAGGACCACTCCCCCAACCCCAGC